GAAAAAGAAATATGTTTGATTTGTTTTTATTGGATCTATTCAAAATATGAATAGAAATCCAACATTCTGACATGCCATAGTTCATAGTTCAATAGGAAAAATCTAGAAAATATTCTAAAAAGAAACTCGTCTATATGCAATGAATATTTAATAAACTAGAACTAAAACGAATTAGTTCAATGAATATTTGATCAAACTAATTAAACAAAGAGATTTTCGCACAATAGTATTATTGAACTGTGTTTGAACACTAAATATTTAATTTTTCATAATTTTGTTCTCTTTTTCTCAATCAATCATGTATTAAAACTTTAAACATTACCGATAATTAGATATATATATGCATATCTAGTTTTATATTTAATCATCACTAGAATAGTTTAGTTTCTATTATGCCATAGAAAAAGAATTTTCTCGATCTAGAATTTTCGATTTTCAATGAGCTTATGAAAAAATGCTTGGCGAAATGAAAAAGTTACGAAAATTTCAAATAAACTCTCTGTTTATGGATACAAAGTGCAGAAAAAGAAATTTCCATTACTATTAGAATACTAGGAGTTGTTTATAATTATTTTATTGCTAGTAAAAGGCATGTAAATAGTTCACATTCGCAAGATAAATATTGAAAAATTCTATTTTGAAGTGTTACTATTAACGCGTTATGATAATAAAATAGAAAGGACGGGGGTGCACATGAATGCATTGTGGCTTCTGTTGATTTTCAAGGTTCAAACTAATTGAGTCATATACAGAATGAAAGATCGTGAATTCCTGATCAATATGATTCGATTATAGCTTTAAACAGGCTCTATCTTCACAACACACTAAATGGGCAATTAGTTATTAACACTGAAATATAATGTGAACACTGTTTTCGCAGAAAATAAATAAGAATGAAAAGTTATTCTTGTAGCCCTTTATTTAGACTACGTTTTCATAATAGAACCATTCATTTAACTTAATGTTTTGAATCTAAAATATTCAAGTGCATTTCATTTGTCATTCAATTATTGTGTTAATGAAACTTTCTTTTCATTTAGTTCACTTCGTATTCAATAGAACTTTTCAACTACTACAAAACGCACTGCTTTTTACGGTAAAAAACCGTGGACCAGACATAGTTCACTATTCTTTAGATTGAATTTTTACTTATTCGACTGATATTTCAAAATTTTGAAGCAGAGAATAATACACATTTGATTTCAAATAAATATTATATTTGGAATCAGAACATATTTCTAGCTTTTTTGCGACTTTTTCCTAGTAAAATTTTCAGTCGTAAACGTCCTCAAGGGTGTGAAAAAATGAATCTAATCAAAACAACTATTTTATTATTTAGTCACTTGTCTTTTTATCTTCAAATAAAATTTTACAAGTTTAAAACTTGCTTTCGACTGCTACAATGAATTTTTGATTAAAATCATTTTTTCACACATTCCTAAAGACGTTGACGGCTGAAATTTCAAGAGAAAAAAAAATTGCACAAAAAGTTTGAAACAGGCATAGATCGGTTTACTCTTTTGTTCGGATTCCAAGTATAATATTCATTTGAAATCAAATGTGTATTATTCTCTGCTTCAAAATTTTGAAATATCAGTCGAATAAGTAAAAATTCAATCTCAAGAATAGTGAACTATGTCTGGTCCACGTTTTTTTACCGTAAAAAGCAGTGCATTTTGTAGTAGTTGAAAAGTTCTATTGAATACGAAGTGAACTAAATGAAAAGAAAGTTTCATTAACACAATAATTGAATGACAAATGAAATGCACTTGAATATTTTAGATTCAAAATACAAACAATGAAAAATTTGTATATGGTCTAAGAAATTCAAAACATTAATTTAAATGAATGGTTCTATTATGAAAACGTAGTCTAAATAAAGGGCTACAAGAATAACTTTTCATTCTTATTTATTTTCTTTGAAAAAAGTGTTCACATTACATTCTAGTGTCAATAACTAATTGCTCATTTAGTATGTCGTGAAGATAGAGCTTGTCTAAAGTTATAATCGAATCAAGATGCTTCGATTTTATCATCAAAATGATTACAATGTCATAATCTTGTATTTTATATATGACTCAATTAGTTTGAACCTTGAAAATCAAAAGGAACCGGAATGCATTCTTGTGCGCGCCTGTCCTTTCAGCTCTGAAAAATGAGACATTGTTGAGAAACTGACATTATTCACCATAAGTCGTCCATGATTATGTTCTTTTCTACGATTCACAATTATATTTCTTTCGAATAATCTTCTTTTGACTTTGTTTTTTTTTTTATTATGAATATGGCCCGTGAATATTGCTTTGTTAGTAATAACAAAATTCACTCGTTGACTCATCATTTAACGAAGGTATTTAAAGTTTTTCTTCTTTCTTAGTCTAATGACTTTTTACTCACACCCTATACATTTCCTTTTACATTGATGAAATTATGATTATATATTATTTTTCTTATATCCGTTTTTTATTTATTTCTTATTTTTTTTTTCAACGTAGAGTTCAAATAAATGAGTAGAAACAAAATTAGAATACACTATATAATGGATGTCTGACATCTCAATTTTATGGACAGATGCCGCTGAAATATTCAGCACTCAACATGAACGAACGATCTGTTTAGAATTACTATTAGTGTTTTAGAAGCAACTTAAATAAGTTCTGTTGTAATCATAGAATTCAATGGCAAAATGCCTCATAGTTTCATCTATAAGATACCGTTAAAAAAGAATATCTAAATTATTGACAATTCTCTTTATCATAGTGCATAACTTGTTTATATCTTGCGCTTAACAGTACAGACATATAACTTCTAACCCTCTTTCACATTAATCGGAAAAGAAACGATTAGCTACTTTTTGATGATAATAATAAGTCAAAAATAAGAAAAAGAGGTTTTTTTTACTTACCGACATTAAGAAAGTTTTCAGATGAACAATTACTTGATATTAACTTAAGTCCTTTTTCATTCCTACAAGAGACATGCAGGATATATACATTAAATAAAACAGACACTGGCAAACAAAAATTATTAATAATATTGTAAACAAAGTTTTCATCATTATCATTAGTTTTCTGTCTGTTAGTTATTTCTCGGTTCTTTTTCGTCAGTTGTCAATTGAAAAAAACTTTCAATATATTTTTTTTGATAGAACGAGACTTTTTATAAAATTACTCAATCATTAATCTATGTCAATTTGAGATATGAAATAAATATTGATATTAATCAGTCTTGGAGACAATTCAAAATTATCTGAAATAAATTTTTCGTGTCAGAAATACAATGAAATCTAGTTTTCTTGTAATTTTTAATGAGAAGTAACATATATTATGTGAATTTCAAAAGGAAAAGATCTGAAATTCAATAGTAAATAGTCGAGTGAAAATAAAAATATATTTTAATTCAATATAAATATTTTTCTTAGAAAGTTCCATATGGCGTATATATATAGGTCAATTAAATTATACGAAATAAAAAGGTCAATATAAAATACACTGACAGCTGTTGACTATAGAACAAATTTTGGTATCTATCTTTTTTAGTAGAATGACGAATATTGTATTTGAAGTGTATATATATCTATATATCCGTGACATGTAGAATCTTCTCTGTCACTTACTTACTTACTAATGTCGATAATTAGCTAAGTTGAAGTTTGTTCTCGTCAGAAAAACCATTGATTGACATTTTGTTTACAGATGAAATCGAGTACGACAGTAGAAAAGAGCGAAAGAGTTCGTTTGCATGATGAAATATGTAATGCATGTCTGTTGAAAGTAATGATTTGTGCAACTAGCCATTGTATGACAATGAGAGAGAGAAACAAAAGGATATGATCAAGTGTCGCTTCATCTATCTCGCGGGAAACAATGAGAATACAGCAAGAAATGTTTCTATCATAATCATGATCAAATTCTAAAGTTAAGAAAGAAAATAAACGACAAAAGAATATATATGTTTATGTATTCACTATTTGGAAAGAGACATAAAAATCGGGAGCATCAAAAAAGAGAAATAGAAGAAAAAATAGAAAGAAAAACTGTCGATCGATATTGAACGCAGATTTTCTTTTCTTCAATGTTCGTTCATGCATCCTTCTATACACGATAGAATTAGAGGATTAACGCCAAAAAAAGACCAAAAAAATTATTTCTTTCGTTGCAAAGATGAACAACAATCGTTAGGATGGAAATATGATTTACTATTATTTAATTGTTGTCAATATCTTCGTTTCAGTTTTGGTCTATACAAAGATATTCCATTGATAAAAATATAACACATATGTTATTTTTCATTCTATACATAGTCTTCTTACTTATATGCAATCAAATGAAGTCAAGATACACTCAATTAAACATATTGTATTGATGATAGTCGACTAGTATGTCGAAGACATGTGTAAATTTAGTTGAAAAGCGTAACGCCTATGATAAACCAATTTTGGAAAAAAGTTTTTCACGCAAATCTGTTTATACAATTCACAATAAAGTTTGTATGGTATTTTTTCTTTGTTTCAAAATAATCTTGACAATCAATTAAAATTGAATAAAAAATAATCTATTGCTATAGTTACAAGAGAAATGTTTTATATACATCATTTATTTTTTTTTCATATATAGATTATAGTTATAGAAAGGAAAATATATTCTCTATGTCATCGAAAAGTTAAAAAAAGAAATTACTAAAATCATTTTGGTGGTTTCTATAAACAAAAAAAAAAGCCATGACGAACTCTCATCGATGCTATTACTACCTTCCATTTGAAAAGAGAAAAAGAAAGAATATGAAGTTTCCCTTGTGTCATATATTTACATTTGATTAATTCGATTATATTATTGAAATAAGGGTATTTTTATTTTTAACATTCAGTGAATATGACATATAAAAACAAGATTTCTATACTTAATTCTAACCCAATTGTAATAATTATAGATAAGGTCTTTCAGTGTGACTTCTATTTAGCTTACTTATATTGTACATCAGTTGTTACAAAAAGAAAAATAATGAATGCCGTTAGAAGAGATCATGATAATCATACACCTTCAAATGGACAAAGCTCATCTGACGATATCTCTAGTGTGGCTACTGAGAAATTATTACCTGTTTATGAAAGCGATCAACAACCAACAACTAAAAAGAATATTGTACGTGTTAGTCGAGTGAAAATTGACCATCGAAATAGTTTACCAACTTTAAAAATTAAATATCTTTATCGACCAAAAGATAATGTAGAAAATTTATTTAATGGCACAAAAAAAAAATTTATTGTAAATGAACATGTTAAAATATCTCGTGTAAAATATCCTAGTGTTAATGACTTGAATACAAAAATATCACCTTTAAGATTAGATCCACGTTCAACACACAAACATACTGATAATGCAAATGATTCTCGTCCTAATAAAAACATATCTCAGAACGTAAATGGCAATTTAATCAATAGAGAAACTAGAAAAATGACATCAAGACAAGGCATAGTACATGCCAATCGTACTCCAACAGCTGCTCATATAAATCAAGGTCCTAATAAAAAAATAATTGCTTTCAAGCCTGTGGTTACACGACTACCACTTCAAACGAATCAAAAAACAATGTATACGTCTGACAAACATGTATCTGAAAAAGTGAAAAAATTATAATAAATATCACTTAAAAGACTTTTAACTTGTTTCTTTGTTTTATTTAAAATAATTTTTAATTTTTTTCTTGTTTTGTTTCATATTGTTAAATAAGAAATAGATCAGTAATCTATGTTATTACTATGAAGAGAACAACTTGAACTTTTGCTTCTAGATAGAATACGTCTTTTTTTTAGACATAATTTGTCTGTCATGCAGACCTTCTAATTATTCGCGTACAGTATCTATCAGAATCAATAAATAATGATTTGCTTCTGGTTATTGTTCGTTATAATAGTCTCTAGACTGAAAGGATAGGGTCTAAAAACAACAATTCACCTGTATCTGTCCGTCTATAAAATAGGTACCATATGGTAGCTATCGTACAAATTACCTTATGGTAGCTATCGTACGAATTACTGCGTAGGATGTCAAAAAGTGGCAATATAAATTAGGATTCAAATGACGCGAAGATAAATATTCCAGGATGAGGAATATGAAATCCATATACAATGTGAAAAAACTGTTTGCACTCGGTTTTCACCATAGATGACCATATTTTGATTTATTACGTGCTTCAGTATTACGATCGTATTT